TTATGGACCCAGAACAGCCTAACGACAGACTAAGACTCTGTGTTACAATGCCGAATCCACTTCAAGAATCATTCTTGATGAAAGAAGCTTGTGTGTTAAGAAGCTTGTGTGTTAAAAGACTTCGATCCGCTCACAGCCATGCAGATTAAAACGAATTTAGATCGACATTAATTTTGATTAACAATTGAAAACTCAAATGGTTTTGATTTTTTACTAAATTACCATAATTATTATAATAAATTAAATACAGGCTGACAATGTTTTCATTTCACAAATGTATCTGAAAAATGTAATTTAACTGAATCTTAAGTCTGTTTCAAAAATCTTTGTTAAATGATGTTTATCGATGCTTGTATAGTTGTAACCTTTGATGAGAGAGTGTACATGACACAAAACCAACACTAAAACAATACTACATTCCAGCTTGAACAAATGAGTGGAGTTGAACGACGCCCTGTTGTATCCCGAAACTACATCAATCAACTTTCAACTATGCAGGTTATTAATGAAAATGAATGTAATACTTACTAGCTTGTCGGAAACCTAAGTCCGATCTAACACTGTGTTGGGGGGGGGGGGGGCGGGGGAGGGGTGGGTAAAAGAACTTAATTGCCCTGTCCCGCAGCAGAGTTCTCAGTGTCTCCTTTGGGGAGTTTGTCATTTCCTTCATAACATAGACTATAGCTTTGTCTTGGTCGGCTGCTGTGCCCTACATGCATAGTTTCATAAAGACTACATCACTGGCAAGAGCTCAGATGTCTGATGCAGGGTCACGCCATTTTTAGTCTCCTGCTTCGTAACTTGTTTGACAGCCCTTGTAAGACTAACCATACCTAAGTTTATATGCTGGACCTTGTCCTTCCATGATATACCCGACCATAAACTTAGCATCTGTGTGTATGTCCCGTCCAAGACAAATGAAATAAATTATGTTTATACGCTTATATCAACAATCAAAATTAAAAACTTATGACGTATATCAACTCATTAATTATGTATCACTCACTATCATCTTGCCTCACTACAAATATTACCATTCTGAATAATAATTTTTTTTTTTGTGTCTTCCTTTGGCTCAGGCATGGCTCCAGCTCAAAATCTTTGGGTAGGTGCAGCTTGCGCACGGTGGGGGGGGGGGGGGTGGAAGGCCTCCCTGGCAAATTTTGGAAGTTTTACTCTCCTAAACAATTTTTAAATATCTCCAAACAGTCCCAATTGATTACAGAAGTCAATTGAACCCCCTTAGTTTAATACAAAATTTGACAATTTTTGTGGCGAAACATTTTTCAAATCGTTTTTTCACCCTTTGGTGGGTGCCACCCACCCGAACCTACACGGTGGAGCCCATGCCTGCGTTAGCCTATCTTTTTATTTCCAAACCAACCGGCTTATGGATAACTTCGATCTCTCAAGTATCGATCTGGAGCGATGAAAACAGTCTTTATGATCTTCACCAGGCTCAGCTTTTTTTTGGCATTTACTAAATATCTGATTACGGTAAGTTAGAATTATCTAGCGAAACTTTGACTGGTCTATCTTGTTGGCTGATTTTCTCCCAACCCAGATAGCTTCAAAACGTGTTTTGCTTCAATCTGCTAAAAATCACCGGTAACTTTTATTGGCACAGTTCCTCTTCCTCAGTCTCCCTTCAAACCAAAGATGAGCTCATTCCTACTGCGATCCCTTCCGATACACCCATTCGTACAACCTTTTTTTTAATTCTTCTTCCTGCAACACATGTGCAAGTTTTTAAGTCACACGAGCTTGACTGGTAAAAATAAAATGACTTCATCTCAGCTTGGACGTGTCTGAACAGCGGTCTTGAAACGGGGGAGTGCATGGATTCCAACCCCTGGGCTTTTTTTTTTTCGATTAGTTTGTCCAGAAGTTCACCTGCGCTTGATAACAGACTTGCGATCGGATATGATCGCTCTTCAACTCCACCATATCTTCCTGTTATCCAGAAACGTACTAAAATGATTATCGGTAGTCGGGATACGCAAGGAATACAAATTATCAATGTGTTATTTTACTGAAACTGAACTTCATTACACTGGCTTTTTTGAACGTTCAACTGAAAACTCAGATTTACTGTCACAGTTTCTACTTCCGCGAGTTTCAGTGATCCAACGATTTAGATCCTACTCCTTCCAGTAATGTAGCTAGGTAGAATAAACTGACTAATCCTTTGAAAGAGTAGCCATGTTCCTCATCCCGATTACTTGTACTTGTAAAAAGGTAAAACCCAGTACCAGCAAAAAAAAATACATGCAAAATGGACCAACAAGACTCTTTAATTATAGGTGGTTCTTTGCTAAAGTTCCGTTCATTTGGCTGAATTTGTCGAATCCATTTCTCTTGAGAACTCAAAGTTTTAGTATACCTCCAAGTCAAATTTATTTTACGGATTGAAACAGTTAATTGAATTAACCCGTAAAACTCTTAGAAGGCACAGCTACAGTGACTTTGGTCATTAGTCCAGTGAAACTTTCAAAATATAAAACACCGATAACGGGTCTACTCAAATGATCCAGGGTGTTGGTCATTAGTCCGGAAAAACTTTCAAAATATACGGACCTTCAAATGATATAGGGTACATAGTTCCGTGTTGATTAGTTTCAATTGAGCATTAACGAGGCCACGCATCGGCGATCTAGAAGCCGTGTTTCGATGCGTCCTAACGGTAACAACACTGCCCGACTATATCTGAATTTTAGTTGCGATAGCAACAAGTTACAATTCGACGTAGCTCTCAAATAAGCTACAAGTTCAATTCAAATCGGAAATATAAAAAGACTCTCAATATATGAACCTTATCTCCGAAGGTATCTATTTAATGAATTAATGGAAGTATTATTATATTTGAAGGCTTATTATACGACTCTATCAATTGTGTTCAAGTAACCATAAATTGAGACTGATTAAAAGCTCTAAAATCTAAAATATAAAATATAAATAAACCACAACGGCAGAAGCCAAAATGATTGTTGAACTTAATTAAAATTTCAAGGAAATATATTTGTTCCGAATATAGAAATGGTTTAGGGACGACAAATTGCGTAAATAAAACGTACCTCCATCAGAGCTAGAGGACTCTGGGTCAGCAGCCGGTCTTAAACCACCGTTTTTTCCTTTTCTTTTTGTTTTAGGTTTACTTTGACCTACTTTACTAAGTATTTTCGCGTTTGGTTTATACAGCTTGACGAAATCTGAAAAGTAATGTCAGCAATCATCCGATCTATTTAATAAAAAAATGATTTTATGAACTGATTAATAATCTCACTTTCGTCGACAACCTAAGATTAAGAAATGACACCGGACTCAAGAACACCTTATGGCGCGCCATGGCGGACAGAAAGCTTTGGAGACAGATCATATTCATAGAGACTCGGAGTCGGACTGTGAAGCTGCCATAAGTCAAGTAAGTCAAGTTAATAGGTTCAATTTGTTGGCGTACGATTCCAAATAAGAAGCGATCTGGTGATCCGAAGCCTAGCAGTGATAAATGAGAGTTCGCAGCAGTTATGGTGCTTAAAATATTACAATCGCACCATCAGTAACGGACGTCGCCAATGTGTGCAATGCTATGTGCACTAAGTAACGTAACCTTCAATATGTCAACTACTATCTGTTCAGTTTAATAACGTCTCTCGACAATTTACAGGCATCGCTATGTACCACGCGTGTCGGCCTATCTTAACATCAGATGACTGAATCAGAGGGTATCAATCATGCTTCCAAATCAAATGCATCCTTTGGTATTGGTATGGTATTGGACATTGGTAATGGTATTGGTTCCATCTGCATTCTGCAGTCTGTAGTTGCAAATCAGCAAGCTCTGCAACTCAACACGAGTATTTTATTTGATGACGAGATATTACTATTAGTAATAGTAGTACAACTAATGAAACATGAATGTTTTCAATTCCATCGTTTTACTTGGTGACTGCTAAATGGTGTCCATGGATGATGGAATTAGGGCATCAATAATATTAATAATAAAGTCATTGAATCAATTTTTATATCACTCCTCAGTATTATGGTAGCATATATTCGTGCGCTAAAGGGACGAGTGGGTAGACACAGGACTAATTTGTATGATATTATTGTGAAAAAGGACCTATTTAAGAGACAAATTTATTTGAAAAACGAAGATGATTTTACCAACTTAGTGAACTTAGCAAGAGATAGAGTAGGATGGAGGAGTTTATTTACTTTGAGACATATTGAACGAATGAGTCTTCTAAAGCGTAAATAGGCCAGCACTTTGCTGAGCCTCTTTAGGTGCTCTTTTGTTTATAGATGTTATTATATATATTCATGGCTGAATGCCATTCACGAATTCCATAGAAATTATGGTGCCATCGTAAGCAATGGACTGTAGTAATTGTACGACTACATTTGTGTCATCACGGCGATTCCTCATGGATCTCATATACAACTAATTTGCGGCTACGCTAAATACGAGGATTCTAGAATTCTACAATATTCTAGAACACAGTAAAGTTCAAATAAAGCAATGAAAATGAACGAAACAACTAAATTTGACGTACCCATAATCCCTACTGATCAGCTTTTCACTCGTACCACACTGCCATAAGGACTATCTAATCGGTTTTGTGGCAACTAATTAACAACGAGAAAGTGAGGAGGACGTATGTGAGAGCGAGAGGACTAGAGGAGGAATACTGTGCCTGCAATAAACTACCTCGTACTGTCAGAACAGTTGCCTTTATTGCTTCTCCACTTGTCAAGAAGTAGTGGTAACGAGGTCACGTGGTCCCGATATTGCCTGCGGAGTGGCTGGCATCTTGTCCGGACTGTAATATATTCTCGGTTTTGTGATTGCTTCAAATGAGGGTGCGAGGGGTGTTCGTGATGCTTTGATAGCTTATTGGATTTAAAATGTATTCGAAATTAAACATTTTATCGTTCTATTAATCTTTTGTGTAGTGCAACAGTTTGGGACTTAAGTTTTGATAATATAAGTTAAACTACAGTTCAATTAATGACAAATAATATCAAATATAAAATACAATAACAATGTTCAATATCGTGTCAGTTTACAGAAAATTTCACAGGGTATAAACACAACTTCAAAAAACAACAGAATATAGTCAATATAATGATATTCAAGTTAAATTAGAATAATCTTCACTCTCCAAGTTAAAGTTAAATCCAATTTTACAGCAAAACAACAATACTTCAGAGGCTCAGCCTGAGGTATTTTAAAATCTAAGCATCCGATGAAATTGGAATGTCATGAAAACACTCAACTTACATCCTCGTTTACAGTGCTTTAACAATGTTATGAAAATATAAACCCATTATTCAGCCAGCTGAATAGAGTCGTAGTAAAAGATCCACAACACAACCATCATAACAAAATCGAGATATAATTATGCAACTTATAGAACGTATTTTTAAACGTTCTTCCCAGACGAATCGATATATATGTCTCTTCAAAGATCGGCTGAACATGGTTCGTTTTATTGCTCACTATTTAAGGCTCACTAAATCTCAGAGACGTTTGAGACGCTGTCTAGATTTGGAGTTGATTGAGTAGCTAGGAACCTTAAACTCAGGAGTAATGTGTGCGTGTTCTGTCCTGAAATCAGGAGTCACGAGACTGGTAGTGGAGCTGAGACTTGTCTTACTGGAAGAATTGGAGTTGGGTGTTCCCATGTTTAGAGTTCTAAACGGGGTCCTGCTCACATCACCCCTCTTCTTCTTACCGTCCACACTACGTTTACTCGGGGTTATTTTCTCAGGAGTGGGCAGCAGGTCGTCTGATTTGATGTCCCGAGCCGAGGGAGCCCGTTTATGAGGGTGTCGAAGAGGAGGGGGACGAGATAACGGAGTCGGAGCAGCTTGAGGAGTGACGCGCAGTGCAGCAGCTTGAGTGCCGCGCAGTGCAGCTGATTGACGAGTTGAGCGTGATGCAAGAGGCGAGGGAGGTGGGTTTGAACGCCGACATATGGTGCGAGGTTTGGGAAGAAGATCCGGACTTTGGGGACGTTGTCGAGCTAGGCTGGATGGTGTGTGCTGGACGGGGGTTTTGGGGGAGGAGCCCCATCTGAAGGCGGGAGAGGAAGCAGAGGGGGCAGGTTGGATGGGGCTGAGAGGACCTTTACTCCTAGACATTCTCCTTGTCAGCGGTAACGGGGTAACTTTACTGTTCTCCTGAAGGTTATGTGAACTGTTATGTAAGGTTTTAAATTTTTAGGTAGTTAAAAGATTTATATACAAGCGCAACACAATTAACAGTAATAACACGGCATCAAGTATGATTAGTCAGTGAGATACCTCACTCTTACACACTAAGACTTACCTTTCCTCTGTTGATAAAGTTGAGTTTCTCCACGGTGAGGTGTTCTTTCCAGCGCCGTTTCACAACTTTCAAATCACATAACATCTGGTAGTACTTACACACTCCCCGGACACTGTATAATAAATATTAGTTAGAAACCAGATCATTGGTATTCATGGAAAGGCTACATAGAATCACTCACTTTATAGTCTTTATACAACGTGGAACAAAAGTAGAAAGACAAAGAATAGAATACTGGTGGCAACTTTACCTGAGTAAATCCGGCGGAGATATGTATTTCTGTAGAAGCAAGATAGTGATATCTACTGGTAGCTTCTTTAGGTAATCAACTTTTACTGGTGTTGCTGGAACCTATCAGATTTGTATTAACTATGTGAAAATTTCTACTGCCACTTACCAGCGAGCAAAGTTATTTAGATAACTCACAAATTAAAATAATAAATAAATAAATAAATTCTAACATTTATTACACGCTTCGACATTAAAATATACCCAACAAAGATGTACATTAAAGTCATTCAAGCGAGACTTAGTGTTGAAATAGCAAGATTATGGACTTTTTAAACAGTTCAGATTTTATGAACAAATATTTGTATGAAGTTACCAAAATTATGCACTTTCATATCAGTTCAGACATTATGGACAAATATTAGAAATATTATCAAAAGCTAGTTGGAAATAAAACGTCTTTAGGGCATTTTTAAAACATTCTACAGATGATAATGATCTCACTGAGTAGGGTAATTCATTCCAAATTTTTGGTCCACAAAACATAAATGCAGCATCTGTTCGTCTGAAATGAGGAGCAGGAGGAACTTTCAACAAATAAAAGTCATCATCTAGTCTGGAACTTTGTCTTCGTACTTCCCTTAGATTGACGTGTCCTTGTAAGTACTGAGGGGCTATGTTATTAAGACACTTGAAGACCAGAAGTGATATTTTGAACTTAATTCTGAACCGAACAGGCAGAAAGTGGAGCTTTTTGAGGTAAGGCATGATAGGTTCACGTATCTTTTTTCCGTAAAGACCAAAGATAAATCTAGCAGCATTGTTCTGTATCTTTTGTAGCTTATGAAGATTCTTTTCTGTTATTCCATAATAGACTGAGTTGCAGTAGTCTATGAAACAGAGGATATTGGAGTGAACTAACTGAACTTTTAGGTCATGGGAAAGCTTCGAACCGATTCTTGCTAAGTCCCTTTGATTCAAATAACATACTTTGGAGACAGCATTTATTTGAGAGTCCAGATTCATTTGGTGATCGAAAAGGAATCCCAGGTTCTTGGCTTTGCTAACAGGGCAGATTGAGAGGTCTCCTAAATCCATTGTCTGGATTGGGCTGACATATGGTCCTATATCAATGAACTCTGTTTTTTCGTCATTCAGTTTTAGGAAGTTAACTGTCATCCATTGCTTTATCTCCAGAAAGCAATTTTTCACAGCTGTTAAATCAGGATTAGAACTGTGAACATCAAAAGTAAAGTACACCTGTGTGTCATCTGCATACAAATGTATCGAGAAACCATATTTTGTGACAATTTCTTCAAGATCTCTGGTATACAATATGAACAGTAGCGGTCCTAAAATGGATCCTTGAGGTACACCAATATCCAGATAGCCTTCAGAAGATGTGGCTTTTTTTACTTTAACCTTGAATGTGCGATTATTAAGGTAACATTGTAACCAGCTGAGTGCTAGTTCTGTAATACCATACGCATTCTTGAGTTTCGTAAGAAGGAGGTTATGGTTTATGGTGTCGAAAGCAGCTGATAGATCTAAGAGTAGAAGCACAACATTCGATTTGCTGTCAATCATCATTAGAATATCATTATGTATTTTGGTAACTGCAGTTTCACAACTATGGAATTTTCTATAGCCTGATTGATATGGGGAAAACAGGTTGTTGACATCAGCATATTCATTTAATTGGCAATGAACTACTTTTTCTAGTATTTTGGACAGATAAGTTAGATTGCTAATCGGTCGATAGTTTTTCAGCTCATCAACATCTAAGGTAGGTTTCTTGAGTCCAGGCCTAATAGATGCTTCTTTTAGGGCAGAGGGAAACTTTCCGACTCTTAGTGATTCATTCACGATGTAATGGATGATTGGGAGAAGCTCGGGTAAGCAGTTCTTGAAGAGCCACATTGGTATGACATCGAGTACGCTTGATTTATTGGGAAGACTCTTAATTAAGGTTTCAAGGTCTGATAATGAGACTTCCTTAAACTGATTAAGTCTACACTTTGCATTATCTATCGAAGTAGAGTCCTTGGTACCTTGACCGTTTAGGGAAGTGTTTTGAATTTCCTTCTCAATATTAGAGTAAATGGTCTTTACTTTTTGATCGAAGAAAGTCTTGAGTTTGGCAGCCACTTCGATATCTTCACCATTTGGCAATTTGTTGGAGCCATATTCCTTATCTAAAAGTTTATTTATGACTTTATAGGTCCCTTTCGAGTCTCCTTTGCAAGAACTGAGCTGTTTATCATAGTAGCCATCCCTAGCTCGATTGATAGTGATTTCTGCGTCAACACATTTTTCAAAATGAGTAGTTTTAAACTCATCATTCTCTGGATACTTTTTGGCTTTTCGTTTTGCCCTTCTCCTCTCTCTGACAGCAATTTGACATTTATTATCCCAAAAATCAGACTTTTCAGCAGTAAATCGTTTCGTAATAAGTGGGGCATGTTTGTCTAGCACCTGTTCAAGGACATTTTGATAAAGGTTCACAGCCTCGTCTAAGGATTGATATTCAGAAAGGTTAAGCTCTGAACAAAACAGATCTTCCCTGAACTTATCGATGTCAATTTTGCTTAGCTCTCTGACATCTTTTTCTTCATATGTACGAGCTTTATGAAGATCGAATGTGACTGGGACCTGAAAACTTACTAGATAGTGATCAGAGCTGGTTCCAGTGCTTGTCTCTACCATCATATCTGTTACAGACAATGAGTCACTTACACAGCCTAGAGTAAATAACAAGTCCAGTGTCCCGCCGGAGATGTGAGTAGGAGAGTCGACATGCTGAAGGAAGCCTTTGCTCTCACAAAGAGCAATAAAGTTCTGGGCAACATTATTGTATATGTCTTCAACATGGAAATTAAAGTCACCACAAATAATTGGAGATCCAGTTTTAAGCAGAAGATTGTCCAGGTATCCATCAAAGTCATCCATAAACTTAGATATTTTTGTTTCATCATATTTCGCTTTGGCCTGAGTGCTGCGATAAACTACACATAGCCTGATAATCTCACCAGCAGTTTTAATGACACATTCAAGTACTTCAAAAGATGAATATTTAGTAACGTCATTGCGTACAGGCGATATCATTTTGGGGTTGAAGATAAAACCAACACCACCTCCCCTACCTCTTCGAGGGGCACTGATAATATCGAACCCAAAATCACGGATTTCGGCAAACTTTGCCCGATCATTAGTTTTTAGCCAAGTTTCCGTGATACAACAGATAGAAATCGAGTTATCTTTAAGCATTTCTAGTACGCCACAAGTTTTGTTGCATAGAGACCTTGCGTTGAAACAACCAATAGAAAGCTGTGATTTCTGTCGATTAGCACCTAATTTCACATTACGTTTTTTGAAATAAAGTCAGTGTTAGCAGCAATACGTTTAGTTTCTCTTACCAACACAGGACAATCGAAAGCTGCCGCATTATGTGTTCTTGAATTCTCGGCATCATTAGTGTGTGTTGAAGCCAAACATCGAGCACAGGCATGTTTGTCCTTCTTCTGCTTAAATTGGCATGCTGAAGACCGGTGACTTCCCATACAGTACATGCAGGTAGGATGTTTATTTGTTTTGACTTCATTACAGTCAACAGAAGTGTGTCCAATCATTTGACAATGATAACACTGTTTGATGTAGAAGCGATCAGTTACTTTGTATCTGCGACTACCTAAATAGAGAGATCCTTGTTGTTGGTTAAAGAGGACTCTATAGACAGATGGTGATAGTTTGATTCCAATAGTGAGCTCTATGCGTTCCTGCTTATCGTTGGTGAAACGTTTTATCTTATTGAGATAGACAATACTGATAGTGTGCCCTGCTTCATACAAATCTTTGATGGACGAGTTTTTCTCCACAATTTGGGCGACTAAGTGGTTCTTTTCAAGATCCCTAAGTTTATCGGCATCATTCCCTACAGCTGTAGTGTCTATATCGTCAAGAACTTCAGAAGAAACACCATAAATAGTAACTTTTGGCAGCATTTTGTTGCCATTCTTAGACTGATATCCATACGAATCTAAGGTATTTCCATCATTGAGAAGTGAAGTAGCCTTATCACGAATTTCAGCATTAGGGAAGCCAATTGAAACTTTCTTGTTGTTTTCATTACATCTGAGAAATACTACTTGACTGCTCTTTAATTTATCAGTAGCAAATTTTTTCACATTCGTCATTGTTGCAGCATTTACCGATTGTTCTTCTTTCGGGGACAGAATTAGAATCTCGGGTGATGAAGGTTGTGTACGTGTTGGAGCAATTGGAACATGTGGTGGTTGAGCAGATGGTGTGGAACTGTTTGAGTCGGTAAACAAGCTGGAATAGAGAACGTCCTTTGTATGAGAAATAGTACCGGATTTTGTTACAACAGTGTTTACTTTATTCTCAATAACATCATTGATATTTTTCGTGAGGTCTTCTTTTAAAGATAAAAACTGTTCAGCAAATTGTTTCATAAAATCAACCTGATCTGAGGATCGCTCTTGAGCTCTTTCAGGTTTCTGGGACAGTTGTTCCTTCAGCAAGGTTTTAAGTTCAGACATCTCTTCCCTGAACTCCAAATTTATGGCATCTATTTTATTATCTAACAATCCTACCCGATCTACGGTAGTAGCAGCCCTCTTTTCCTCCTCAGCAGTACTACAATCATTACAGATAAATAGAAAGCGACCAAATCGTTTAGCATAAGATGAAGTGTTGTTCACAGCATGAGACAGGTGAGCAGTAAAAACCGTGGGCGCACTGACATTGCAAGTTTCATCACAGTTGATAGCATGAAAACTGTCCTTACACCAAAAACACTGTACAATGTCGGCACTTTTGACAACCTCATCATTCGAACAAGCTTTACATAAACCGTTGACGAGAAGATTCTTTGCAGAGTTATGAGCAGACTTTTCCATTGCAATTGTGTATTTGTACTTGTATAGATGTACAAAGGTAAAGTACAAACACCGTGCAGTAGCAGTGCAGTGGCAGTTAAAATTTCCGATTAAACAGAGATAAGGGAGCTCTGTTTTTCAACACGTAACAAAACTACAAACTATATATAAGTTAATTTTTTAAAATTCTCAGGCAGTAAATGACAGGAGTAAAACTCACAGGTTTACTAAAGTGTCTGGTGCAGTGAACTCTGAGTATAGGAGTGAGAGGTCTGGAGAGAGCAGGACTTCTGTCTACGTCGTAACTCCTGGGTAACTGTCTCTCAACACACCTCTCCACAGGGTACGACAATCTGAGGGAGTAATGTTACAACTTGTTCTTTCAAGACAATAGATTGGAATGTTACGTGAGATGAAGTATAATTTGATGGTTAGTTTAATGTTGATATTATTAAGATATTTGCTACGCCATAACCCCCTGAAGCGACCCCAACTAACCTAAGATTTGCAGGGAATTCCGAAGTTCCTTGAGTCCTCCCCCTGAGAGGCTCCTTTCTTTTACCAGCCTCCCCAGGTCTAACATCAGGAGTGGTAATCTTAGCGGAGAGTTCAGCACGCTTCAGTAGGACCTGCCGTTGTTTAGAGCTCAGACTGGTGGGATCAGAGAAGGGTTCTTTTATCTTAACTTCACGTTCAGGTATGATAGACATAAGTGAGAATCTTGAGATAACATCCGCTGCTCTGTGGAGAAAGTGTGAGTTAGGGTCGGGTATTTTAACACTGTGCTACTGGAATGTAAGGTACCAGTTATACTATAAACAAGAACATTGAACAATGAACATGTAACAGTTGAAACAAAAACAATCACATTTAAACTTCATAAATATTAAATTTAAAGCAATCGGCGCGAGCTAAAATACTGTAACAGAAAGTAAAACTCACAGTGAGAGAGGATCGTCCAATTGAACCATGTTGCTACGTAGGATCCCTCCAGGTTACATTATAACATGCTGCTAATTTTGGATTAAGGTCAGTGCGCTGTATCAAGTTCCCTTAATGTAATTGAGTACCCGCTCTTCGGGGACCGAGCAGGGTCTTTGAACTGGACTCGTTTTGAGCGGGAAATTAAATTATGTACTGTCACGCTAATGTAGATACCAGATAAAAGATTACCGGAGTAATTACTGTAATTAAACATGATAGTTCAGTAAACAATGTGAGAATGATTAAATTAGCAATTATTAAAGTATTACATTATTAAAGTATTACATTGAAGAGACTGAGGTTTAATAAACTGCTACTCTCATACAAAAACCTATCAAGTTACATCAAAACAACAATCAAAACAGAATAATCTTACAAAAATGAATAAAATATAAATCTTAAATGTTTAACATGTTATTCAGATTTTATTGGGGTCACGGCGGTTTAAATCACATGCAGACCGTATCAAAGGGGTCGAATCTATCTCTGCGAACTAGAACTCTACCTCTCCGTACATTTCCAGAAAGTTCCGGAGGGACGTATAAAATATCTCAGGTTGATCAAGATGAACAATATGCCCCGCTCCGGGCACCACTTCAAACTGAGCAGCACTGAACAGCTCCTGGGCTGTGGCTACACGTGCTGGAGTCATGTAGTCGCTAGCACCTCCGTCTGGGAGATAATTGGGACCCGGATTAAAGGGGGAATTTAATATCAAGATCAATCTGTAAAGATAACGGCTCATTATCTACAGCAAGGTCCGTGCTACTCATTCAATTAATCATGCAAAGGAGGGTTTCCTATGGTTCTCGAGACAAATGTTTAAAGGGAAGTTAAACAGAAGATACAAAGGTACTTGTTTTAAATATCTCACATAGAAAAAGGGTATTTATTGAAGATATTGGCACGTTATCCGGATACGCCCTGACCTCCTCTACAAACTGGGATATTATCTCCAGGTTACACCTCCACCTCCACCCACCGCCCTTCTTCTGCGCCAGGTTAGACAGGATGAAATTCCGCTCCGACTCCGCCTGCAAAGCTTTAGAGGCATACAAATAAATTATTAGAGTGAAACAACTAGATTATCAGAGTGAAACAACTACATTATCACAGTGAAACAACTAGATTATCAGAGTGAAATAACTAGATTATCAGAGTGAAACAACTAGATTATCACAGTGAAACAACTAGATTATCAGAGTGAAACAACTAGATTATCAGAGTGAAACAACTAGATTATCAGAGTGAAACAACTAGATTATCAGAGTGAAACAACTAGATTATCAGAGTGAAACAACTAGATTATCAGAGTGAAACAACTGGATTATCACAGTGAAACAACTAGATTATCAGAGTGAAACAACTAGACTATCAGAGTGAAACAACTAGATTATCAGAGTGAAACAACTAGATTATCACAGTGAAACAACTAGATTATCACAGTGAAACAACTAGATTATCAGAGTGAAACAACTATATTATCAGAGTGAAACAACTATATTATCAGAGTGAAACAACTAGATTATCAGAGTGAAACAACTAGATTATCAGAGTGAAACAACTAGATTATCAGAGTGAAACAACTAGATTATCACAGTGAAACAACTAGATTATCAGAGTGAAACAACTATATTATCAGAGTGAAACAACTAGATTAAAAAAATTGATTCTTGAACATTTCATGAAAAACTATTGAAAACCCTATTGAGCTCGAGCAGTATTGTTTTGAGGCGAAAGTCAGTTTTGCCAAAATATCGCGAACTGTGAATATGGGCGTTTTTTGTTCATTTTTTGCAATTATTTGAACACGAATCCACAGTTAGGTAGATATTGGAGGCCGATAATCATGAGAATGTGTAGTATTCAGCTACTTTCATATAAAGTTGGTTTCAATTCAAACATATTGATATTTGACCAATTTAGGGCAAAATCGATCATGTGGTGCGTATGCCCCAATATGTCATATGGTTTTTGGGCTCATAACTCAGTCATTTTTTAGTCCAATCTTGAATGAAAAATTCATATACGAGTTCAGAGGCACCACTAGATACAAGTAAGCACCTACAATTCTGGATTTTGGGCATGTTCTCGGGTTATTTGGAAAATTGGGCTAATTTGGGACCATATATGGGCCCGTGGCTGCCCCGCGGGACTGTTTGGCGGTTGGGGTACCGGACCCCCTCAAAAGTTCGATCACCGGTCCTAGTTTGTTGGTCAACTACTATCTCGAAACCAAGGTTCACAAAAAAAAAAAATCAGGCTGAACCCCGCCTTATGTCGGTTTTGGTAGCAGCAGACCAGCAAAACATACTTTTCTTAGTGGACAGGTTAGCTGAATTAACAATTATTTAATGATAACTGTGTAGTAAAGGGTAGAGGCTCCTTATCACGTGAGTGTAAGACGTGGGGTTAATGTGGGAAGACTCAAATGTTATTTGGCATAGCTCCAAGTCATCTACAAGGTTCCTTATCTTACGATTCCATAATTCCTATCCTCCTCTAGATGCTCTGAAGTGAAATATAGTCACGTGCACTACTTCAGTTTTAGTAGATTAAATGAGATTTCGTCATTGTCAATTTCGACATCATCTCGAAAATATATTAACTTGTTGATATTTAGGTAAAGCCAATCGTTAATTTTTGGAATACGATTGAATATAAATTGATTTCTGTAAATCAGAAAGCAGCACTTCATAATGTGGGCCGGGCACTAGAAATAGTTAATTAATTTTTACAAATGATGAAAGCTCTTACTATGAATCAATTACAACAGTTGTATATAATCAGTACATTCAGAAACGATAAAATTATTTAAATACCTTATTGTCAGCACCCATAGCCTTGTATGATAATGTAGTAGTGCTTGTATCTGTGGAAGAGTCTGAGGGTTCGGAAGAGGGAATTCCAAGTCGCTGTACTGAAAAATAACGTACTCGCATATACGTTGGACCTGAAAAAATGAGTTTAAAACCTTAAATCATGTCTGGTTTAAAAAAGAGTTGATTTAATTTGTTTGTATTTTTGATCGGCCGTTGCACATCAACCCTTCAATCCCCGGTCCCAAAACTATATAAAATTAAAACCTATTTTCGATCTCCAGAGTTATGATATTCTCAGTACTAGTAGTAACGTTGACGATGAGTTCTGTTGAGGGTTGGTTGGTGTAAGGATAGCCTGACGTGGGCCTGATAATTAATTAAGTTAACAATTTACAACAAAATTTCAAATGCAGTATTTGCGTGAGTGTATGAGTGTCAAAAATGTTCTAGAACATTCTAACCCAATGTTGGGAATCAGCGAGCATTTCTCAGTGAGTTTGATTTAGAAATCTTCAAAATCTTTCATTCCAAATTTTTACTTTAAAAATATAAGGAGAGATAATTATTATATCTTAATTATTAACGGTGATTATCTATTAATTTATAATGGGGGGTTAGCCTGACCATCAAACAAACTATAGTATAGGGTTACCTGTCACGTGTCAAGCAATATTTAATCAACATGTTCAAATCAACTTACTTGTTCTTGGAACACTTGATTGACGGTAAATGAGGGGAGGGGTACTGGTAAAAGTTAAAAGGAAACTTCCTAGGATACACATTCAGTACATAGGTTACACAGTACTATTTCGATATTACTCTATTATATTACTTATTACTTTTTACTATTTACTATTACTATTTATTTTACTATTTACTATTAATATTACTTACTACTATTTCTATTACGATTACTCCCTATTACTATTTCTTTTACATTACTACTACTACTATTTACTATTACTATTACTAGTATCTATTAATACTATACTACTAGTACTATTACTATACTACTATTCTACTACTCACTATTACTACTACTACTATTACTACTACTTACTACTTACTATAACTATTACTATTACTATTACTATTACTAGGGGGGGGGGCCTCTTGTTTTTATGTCCGTTTTTGTCCGTTTGGCAGCTATTTTTCAACAAACGGACAAAAAATAAAGCCGGACAAAACACGGACAATAATCGGACAAAACGGACAAATAATTAATAAACAAATTGAATAACATTAGCGCCTCTCCTTCCTCCACCTCCTCCCTCCTCATCTCCTCCTCCTCCTCCCTCCTCCCTCCTCCTCCTCATCCACCTCCTCATCATCCATCCCTTCTCCCCTCTCCTCCTCCTGCCTCCTCTTCCAATCTTCTCCGCCTCTCCTGCCTCAGGCCATCCTCCTCATGTCCTCCTCTCTGCTTCTTCATTCATCCTCCTCTGTTCCTCTCCTCCTTGGTCCTCCTCCTCCCTCTTCATTCCTCCTCCTTCTTCCTCCACAGTCCTCCAGTCCTTCTCCTCAGTCCTCCCTCCTCATCCTTTTCGTCAGTACTCCTCCTCCTCAGTTCTCCTACCTTCTAATTCCTCCTTCTGGAGTTCCCCTCCTCAATCTCCTTCTGAGTCCCTCCTCCTCCTCCCTTCTCTGGAGTTCCTCCTCCTGGGTCCTCTTTCTCCTCCTCATTCTCAGTCCTCTCCTCCTCCCTTCAGTCATCCTCTCAGTCATCCTCCTCAGCAAATCCTCCTCAGCCCATCTCTTCAGCGATCACTCATCAGTACTTCCTCAGTCTCCTCTTTCTCAGTCCTCCTCAGTCCTTCTCCTCAGTCATTCCATTCTCCTCCTTCTCCTCCTCCAGGGGGATCCTGTCTTTATCACGTTTTTTTCCGTTCGGAACCCTTTATTATCAAAAAACGGACAAAAAAGAATAGAGCGGACAAAAACGGAACAAAAACGAGACAAAAAAATAACAAAAATGGAAATAATATTTTAGATGCTTCCTCCTCCTCTCAGTCTTCCTCAGTTAATCCTCCTTCCTCCTCCTGAGTCCTCCTCTGGGGTCCTCCTCCTGGGACCTCCTCCTCTTGGGTCCACTCATCTTCATCCTCTCCTCTTCATCCTAGTCCTCAGTTCTCTCCTCAGACCTCTGTCCTCCTTCTAGTCCTCCTCCTCTTCCTTTTTACTCAGTCCTCCTCATCAGTCCTGCCCAGTCCCCCTCTCTCCTATTCACTCCTCCTCTCATCCTCCTCCTCCTCCCTCCTCTTCCTCAGTCTCTACTCCTCTGGTTCCTCCTCTTCTCACGGCCTCCTTACCTCCTCTCAGTCCTCCTCCTCTCAGTCATCCTCCTCAGTCTATTCTCCCTCTGTCCCTTCTCCTCTTCCTCCTCCTCCTCAGTCTTCCTCATTATTCCTCAGGTCCTCCCCCCAGTCACCCCCTCCTCTGGTCATCCCCCAGTCACCCTCCTCCTGTCATCCTCATCCTCCTCATCACGTCGTCCTTCGCGCTCTTTCAGTCCTCCTCTTCATGAGGCCGCGTCTGCCTCCTCACAGCTGTTTCCTAGGTTCCTTCCTCAGTCCGCATTTTCCTCCTCTGTCCTTCCGTCCATTCCCCAGTCACCCTTCCTCATCCTCCTCATCAGTCCTCTTTCCTTAGTCCTCCTCCTAAGTTCTCCTCCTCCTCTCTGAGCCCCCCCCCTTCTTCTCCTCCTCAGTCCTGCTCCTCCTCCCTCAGTTATCCACCTTCCTCCTCTTCTCCTCCTGGGTCTTCCATCCTTCGCTCACCAGTCGTCCTCCGCAGTCCTCCTCATCCTCTTCATCCCACTTATTCTCCTCCTTTCAGTCCCTCATCTGTCCTCCTCCTACCAATAGTTCATCCTCCTCTCCTGGCGGCCTTTTCCTGTGTACTCCTCCTCCTGGGTCCTCCTCCTCCAGTCCTCCTTCCTATTCCTTCTCCTCAGTCTTCTCCCCCTCAGTCTTCTCCTCTTCCTCTCCTCAGTCTGCTCCTCCTCAATCACTTTCCCAGTCTGTCACCCTCTCCTCCTCATTCTCATCCTACTCCTCAGTCCTCCGTCTCCTTCTCAGTCCTCCTTCTCAGTTCCTCCTACCTCCGCTTCTTCCTGGTTCCTCATCCTGGTTCCACCTTCTCCTCCTCAGTCCTCCTCTCTTCCTTCCTCCTCCGGGTCCTCTGATCCTCTTCAGTTCTTCTTCTCCCTTCTTAC